ACCATGTCCTTTATAGTCTTTTTCGTCATCATCACAGTCTTCGTCTTTTTTGTCATCTTTATATCCTTTGGAATCATGACCATATTCTTCATGGCCTTTTTTATAATCCTCACCACGCTTTTTGAGGATTTTATCATGTTTTCCGTCATGACCATATCCTTTATCGTGTTTTTCGTCATGACCTTTGCCTTTATCATCTTTTTCATAGCAATAGCATTCGTAATCGTCGTCATCTTTATCCTTATCATGCTTTTTATCTTCACCCTTTTTAGAAGAATAATAATCGTCCTTTTCATCTTTTTCAATGCAATAGCATTCGTAATCCTCGTCATCTTTATCCTCATCGTGCTTTTTATCTACACCCTTTTTAGAAGAATAATCACCGTGTCCTTTATCACCTTTACTATAATCATGGTCTTCACCTCTACCATCTTAAATAAAAATTATACATTAGTATATAAGTTGTTAATGTTAAAAACAAATGATTTAGTTTGATTGAAAAAAATAATTACAAAGTATTTCACCGACTTGTTTTGATCTAGCATAATATTCTATTATAATATAAGAAGATGAATAAACAAGTTACTATGCTAACCATTAAAATACGTATTATTTAATTAAAACATTCAGAAAAAAAAAAAAAAAACAATACCTCTTCGAGATGGAGCAGCAATTGCGGTAGAGGTAGAAAGGATAAGGATCAAGCATGTTGTAGCGATATTTAATTTCATCTTCGTTTATTTTTCGATCGTGAATTAAGAATTAATGTTTCTTTTTTATTATTACTTTCTGCGTACAAAAAAAGCAGAAATTATATATTATATATATATGTATTTTTTTTTCAAGTCTTGAAAGACTGAATTGTTGAGTTGAGGGAGGAATCTGAAGGGTCGCTTTTATAAGGAAATTTTGGATTGATGTTGAATCTATTCTTCCTATTAATAACGAGCTTTGGCGAAATCTAATTAATTCTCATCATTGTATAAACAATCTTAAATTAGGTCAATATTATTTAAAGTTTGATAACTTTATTAGCAATGACGTGAATACAGTAACAAGCTTTTTGATAAATATGTATAAAAATAATATGTATAATTTTGGTCATATTGATACTTTTCCAAAAATAAAAAAATCGCCTGGTATATTTAGAAACAAGCTTAACATTTTTACACATTAACGTTAAGTATATAAATTTTGTGAATTAAATAAATGTCGTCATAAAAGCTGTCAGTTTATATATGATTTCGTCATATAGTAAGAATTATGCGCATTTACTATAAATGCGTTCTTTAGGATCAGGATAGCTTTATTTAACTTATATTACATCATATTACGTTCATTCAATATTCTTTAAAAAAAACGAATTTAATTTGAGATAAAAAAAAAAAAAAAAAAAAAAAACAAAACTAACGCTAATAATCTGGATAAAAGAAATCATTCTAAAAAAAAAAAAAAAAAAATCATTATTATGTCAGATGGCATGCATTAACTGGCACAGTAACAATTATTGATAATCATATCGATATTAGATAAATCATGCAAATCATATTAGATAAATCATGCAAATCATATTAGATAAGATTTACTTTATTTCGGCTCGGGCACTATATTTAATAGTACTAAGCCACACCATATTCTAATCTTTTAATGGTTAACATTGACATCATAAATATATTTAAAAATGTTAGTCTATATTTAATTAAAACTTGCATCCTATTTTTGTGTATGCTCTAAGCTATCCTTAGTAATTATCTACAATAATTTATAACATGCATATGCATACATAAATGTGCGGCGTACATGTTTAAAATTCTTGATAAATCTTATTTTTACATAGTAAAAATATTTTAGCTAGGCAATAGAATTAGCTATATGTTCGCAATTACGAGGAAAATAACAAGTTTCTATTAGTAACATTTCGATTTAGTGTCCGATTTAGTGTCGATTTTGTGTACTGTGTATTTTCGTTTTTTTTCCCCTGTTTTACGCACGTGTCGGGCTGATTGAGTATAATCAAGATTTACATCTTTTTTTGTTTTTGTTTGTGTTGCACAATTGAACGCCGTAAATCCTAAAATCGCAAACAAATACAAATAAAGCTTAAAATCATTAAAATTAGAAAAATTTTTATTTTAAACGTTTCTATATCTGTGGTTCAACTAATTTGATCGAAAATTCACATTGAAATGCAAGCAAGAAGTGCCAAGTTTTTTTTTTTCCATCACATGTTAAACAAAATTCCCCCAAATTCAGTAATTTTACCCCAAGGTCGAAATTCAATATTCAATGTATCATGTGATAAAGACAAATCGTATTTGTTGCTCCGTAGAAAATAGTGACAGAACTGGTCAGTACTAAGTGTTAACTCTCGGCTTGCCAAATAAACTAGAATCATTTAAAATATCCCTTTTGGTTTCATTAAAAATTATAAATCATGACAATAAAACTTTAATTCCCGAGACAGCGTTATTTCGTGAAATATAATTGTCCTATCTTTTTTTGAAGTCATAATAATTTCCTGTAAAGATTTGTGCATCATTTACGCCATTCATAAAGAAAAGGTCAAATTTTATTTTAATAGATATTACTTTTAGATTCTCTATAAGACTTTTTTTAAAACTACAAATATTATTAGGTTTACTATCGTTAGTATGAGGTCTTGTTAATGACATCGTACTATTTATATCTTATTAGAAAACTAATATTGTATTTTTCTTTAAATATTGGAGTACCCGATCTCAATTTAAACCTTAAAGTTTGGATTGATCCATAGTGTACAACCCCGCAGCTAAGAAACTCACATATTTGAAATTTGTACTCAATTAGAATTAGTGTCCAGTTTTTCTAATTGGTTCATTTATTAAAGTTAGGTTTCTAAGTTCTATCAAAAATAATCCGATATGCCTGAACAGTTGGGGTTGTCGATGTATACGTAGATCAAATATATGTATAGTCCTATATAAAATCAAAATAATTTTTTTCGTGTAACGATCACGATTACAGTTTACCTCGTTATAACGTAGTGGTCGGGCTGAGAAATTAATGAATATCCGCTATAACGTTATATAACATAATAATAAAAATTTTTGAATTGTTTCAGAAAATTGCTCCGTTATAACGAGGTATCCACTATAACGGGGTCCGTTATAACGAGGGTAAACTGTATATAGTAAAATGCTAAAAATTATTAATAAAATATGGATGAATCTATTTGTCACCGGCTGTTACAGAAAATCTCAAAATTTTCAAATCAAAATAACTCAAAATTATGCCTATTAAATTAACTTCTGCGTCTTAACTAAAAATATTTGCATAATTTTACTATATACTATTAGGGATGTCAAAAGTCCGGTCCGGTCCGGTCCGGTCCAGTCCGACTCCATGAGTCGAGTTTTAATCTCGACTCGGTCCCGAGTCAGGTTTGGACCGAGTTCCAATAATCTCATAGTAGTCACATGCAATGTTAAGGGAAATTATACCGATACAGCATGCATGTGACTTATCTCCGTTATCGGGCACAGCAAATGATCGACATAAGTATTAAAATTTTGATCGAAGATATCTCACCAACCATTAAAGCAAATTCAATAATTTTTTTTTATTTTGATTTTATATGGCCATAGAATAAAAAAAAAAGTTCATCAAATTTACTTTGATGGATATTTTTGTTCAAAGTTTGAAATAAAAGTGAGAATAAAAAATTTTGACTTTGAGCAAAAATATATCAACAATTTAAGCAAATTTGATGGACTTGCTTGTTTTCAATTCTATGAGCTAGTAGAATTAAAATAAAATAAAAAAAACATTCATAGAATTTGCTTAAGTAATTGCTGAGATATCTTTATTCAAATATATATAATTTTTTTTATCTACTATTTATATTTTGATTCTTTGTCAAACTTTAAATGAAGATATCTCAACACTATCTAAGCAAATTTGATAATTTTTTTTATTTAAGTTTTTAAATCTTTATAATAAAAATAAAAAACTTGATTAGATTTTCTTGAGATATTTTCATTCAAATTTCTAAAAAATTTTCTTGCTTCTATATCTAATAAACATATTTTACCAAACTTTTAATGAAGATATCTTAACAATTATCTAAACAAGATCAATTTATTTTAATTCTATGAGTATATAAAATAAAATAAAATAAATTTATTGAATTGCTGCAATGGTTGGTAAAATATTTCATTTAAAATTTTAAGTATTTATATCAATTATTTGCTATACTGATAATAAAAATAAGGTTCATCTATAGTATAACGTGTACTAATACACTCGATGATCACATCAAATATCACATTATAAATAAGGTTATAG